CCCCCCCCCCCCCCCACCACACACTCCAGATGTCAGACGCTGGTACCACAACTTCTACTTCTAATTCTTATTTCAATAAAAGTTAAATTATAAAGAATATATGTAAGTTTATGAAAACAAGACAAAAACCAATACTAATGGGACAATTTTATGTTTTAGTTTGTTTCCCCAGAATAGAAGTACCCCGGTTGGTGGATACCCCTATTAGGGGACATTTTTTTGGTCCTGAAGATGTATTACGGACTCTACTTCGAAGAGTGTAGAGCGTTCTTTAACGTGCACATGGGCTATAAATGCACACGGGAAGAACGGCTTAAACGTCTCATCCAAAATACGGTGCGCTATTGTAATGTGTATTTCAGCCCTCCAGCTGAAATGCAAGAAGAGGCAGCAATGGTAATTGAACCAGGGACCTAAAGATCTCCGGGGTTCAGCGCACACACAGTGGCTACCACTAGACTGACCGACTGAGCTAAGCTAGTGTACGCTTTAAATGGGAACACATTTTGATCGAATGGAGTGAGTGTATTGTGAAATGGTAGGGAAAAATAATTTTTTCTCCGCATTAAGTTTATTCTTTGATTATTAACAATACAAGATTAATGTATAATTAAACTATATGTATGAGGAAGTATCAATTGATTATCGTAGTTTTTCATTAAAGTGGTTTCATCCCTTATTACCATTGTACTGCTTTTGTCTGCTGGTAGTATTGTTTTTCAATTTCTTCAAAGCCACCCATTGTTGTGATATTTGCTCTTAGATCATAAAATATTTACCGGCAAAATTAATAACAAAAATTAGAATTTCGTAATAGTACTATTACAATCAATAAGCCCTACAAAGTAATTATTTAATCAATGCAGATAAAAAGATTTATTTTATAGAATTATAGAGAATGCTAAACCACACGATATCAGTAACCTTGAATTTTATAGGGGCCTATGACAAAAAAATATCACCTCTTTCTGCTGGTCAAATTGTTTTTCTTTAAGTTCTTCAAAACTACCCTTTCTTGTGATATTTCCTCTTTTATATAAAAGTATTTACCGGCAAATTTAATAATACAAATTAGAATTACGTAACATTACTATTAAAATGAAAATAAGCCGTACAAATTGTTTAAAGTTTTTACTGAATCAATGCAGATAAAATATTTATTTTATAGAAGGCTAAACCAAACGTATGTTATCTGTAACCTTGGATTTTCGATACAACGCATGTATTCGTCAAACCCTAGAGAAAATAGAATTTTCTCTATGGTCAAACAAAAGCCGGAGACATTTCAGAAATTGTTATCTATCTGCTAACATCTGATGACATTTAGCATGTTGTAGAAAGAAACGGGATGTTCA